TTGAACCAAGTCGGTCCCACCGAGTTTGGTAAATTGTATGTGACGGTTAGATTTTGTGTGCACGCTATATATACCCCTCCACCCCTTCTCCATTAGAGAGAGAGCCATCAGAACATGCCTACACTTGCACTACTCATTTTCTGAGAGACAACCACCTACTCATGTGTTGAGATCAAGATATTCCAATCAACCACAAGAATCTTGATATCTAGCCTTCCCCAAGTTGCTTTCCACTCAAATCATTTTTCCACCATATCTAAATCTGTGAGAGAGAGTTGAGTATTGGGGAGACTATCATTTGAAGCACAAGAGCAAGGAGTTCATCATCAACACACCATCTATTACCTTTTGAAGAGTGATGTCTCCTAGATTGGTTAGGTGTCACTGGAGCCTCCGTCAAGATTGTGGAGTTGAACCAAGGAGTTTGTAAGGACAAATAGATCGCCTACTTCGTGAAGATATACCCAAGTGTGGCAAGTCCTTCGTGGACGATGGCCATGGTGGAATAGACAAGGTTGCTTCTTCATGGACCCTTCGTGGGTGGAGCCCTCCGTGGACTCGTGCAACCATTACCCTTCGTGGGTTGAAGTCTCCATCAACGTGGATGTACGATAGCACCACCTATCGAAACCACGCCAAAAATCTCTGTGTCTACATTGTGTTTGCTCCCTCCAAACTCCTCCCCTTTACCTTCATATGCAATGATTTACATTCCGCTGCTGTACTCTTAGAATTGCATGTATAGGTTGATTGCTTGACTTGTGTTAAGTTGCTAAAATCTGCCAAGACTTAAAATTGGGAAAAGGCTAGATTTTTATTTGGTCAACTAGTCTAATCACCCTCCTCTAGACATACTTTCAATCATACACAAAGATTTAACCAAAATTCAAAAAAAAACATAAATTAGAGCATATCTTTTTTTCCTTTTACAATTTTGTCATTTCAAAAATTGTCCTAAACCCTAAACCCGGGACTTCAAACATCGGAAACTCTATGCTAAACAGTAAAAACTAAGGGTTTAAACCATAAAACCTAACCCTAAACTCTGAAATCTAAACCCTAGCACTAAACGCTAAAAACGTCTAAAACGCCCAAAAACTCTATTTTCCCTTTGGAATTTTGTGATTTTAAAAAATTGTTGAAACGTAAAACTTGTTGTTTCAGCGGATCAATCTTTTTGTTCTGCAAATTTTAATATATTATATGTATTTTTCTGAATTAGGATGATTTAGTTATGATTTTTTCAACTTTTAAAATTGCCCTATAGTCCCGGTTTGTGTCTCCAACCAGGACTATAAGGTTAGACCCCTTTAGTGCCGGTTCGTGGCACGAACCTGTACTAATGGTTGGCCCTTTAGTACCGGTTTGTGCCACAAACCGGGACTAAAGGGGCTCGTGGGGCCGCGGCCTGACGCCAGCCTGCGACCACCCCTTTAGTACCGGTTCGTGGCACGAATCGGTACTAAAGGTTCAACACGAACCGGCACTAATGCATAGCCGTTCGAACCGGTACTAATGATACCATTAGTACCGGGCCAAAATCGAACCGGGACTAATGTGTCTCACATAAGGTCCTTTTTCTACTAGTGGAGGAAGCCTCTACGAAGATAATTGTTAGACCATATGAATTAAGTATATTTGAGGAAATGTATTTGAGTATAGTAGAATGCAAACAATAATTCATCTAAGTGACATAAGTTAGTTTGTCAAGGATTGTGATTTCATCTTCTTTAATTTTTTCCTCAAATCCATATATAATGGTTTGATTTAGAAGTGGGTTTCCAAGGAGGAAAATACCTATATAAAACAACTGATGTACATTCGAGAAACTGGCAGGAGCGTTGCCTTTGAATTGAAGGAAGAGAGAGTGTTAAAAACAGTTATAATAAGGTTTTCCCCAACGAGAGTCGGAAGGTGCGGAAACCTTAGTAATATCGTATATTGATACAATAAGTTATAAATAAATATAAAATGTGATTAATTTCGTTATGCATAAAAAATAAATATAATTATTAAGACAGTACATTAAAGAATAAGTTATGAAGAAAATATGTGAAGTATATTCTGCTAAATTTAATAAAAAGACATTTATTTTTATGCATTGGCATGATGAGTTTAAAAATAAAATTATGCATTGCATAATTTATATAGGAAGGCCTGGCTTAATAAGTTGTTTAAATTTTTATTTTTTATTTAATTATTTTTTATTCATGTTATTATTGCGGCTGAAGTCGCTTATGAAATAAAAGATAACAATTTCCCCTAGAATAAAAGAGTAAAATGTATGTCGTAAAATATTCTAAGTGTAATATAAATTTAATACCGTATATTTTATATTGTGACAGAGAGAATCATAAAGAATATTTTTTTAAAAGTTTGCAATACGTATACACAACCATTTTCGTATTTTAACTCTCCCATCATCTCTCACTCTCCTACCCCTACATCGAGTGGAAACTCAAAGATATTTGTCAAGCTTCTCATGTGAACAATATCGTTATCACCAAGGACAAAATATTCATTCTAGTTAGTACAAAGAAGAACAAGAAACAAATATAAGTAAGAAAGAATCATCCTTGCATGCCTAACAAATGCTTACGCGTGAGTGTGATGTTGTTAAATTCAAGTTGCGAGTGCAAAATGTGATAGTGATTTGTACCAAATTTTAACTGTGTGGTGGATTTCCATGTGATATGAATGATATTCGTCATGTATTTTGTCCGTCTTTATATTGTCATAGGTTCACATGCCAATAGAGGGATCAGTAGGGAAATTGCAGGAAGGTGTAATTTTTTTTTTGAGTCCCGTAGTTAGGCTATACTTCTATTTCTCATTTGAAGCACGTCAAGTTTCTCCAGTTGGCAAAAGGACCCATCTGAGATCACCTTCAGCCTCGAAAGGTGCTTCATGCCAACAATCCACGAGCTGCTCTTCTCGAATCACCCCCTCTAAGATTTGGTAATGCACCGATTGAAGCCTATCTTCTTCCCAGTATAAGATTGACATCAAAGATGACGGAGTATGAGATTGGGAAATGCCCATGTATCTCCATGCTCCTAAATCAATTTGTCAACTGGGCATCTCTTATGCAAGACATCTTTTCATGTCTAGGGTCGCAGGGAGGAGATGATGAGATGAACACAATGCAACCACTCGACTGCTCCATCCGTGATATGGTATTTCCCAACACATAATTTCTTTACTGTTTGGACATTTTAACTGAAAGAACTTTTTTTTCTTTCATGATTTAATGAATTCACTATTATAGGTGTCTATTACTTGTCACCGAAGACGAAGTTGCATGAAGTTGGGCATTTGACCATTGTTTTCATACCAATCCATCACCACCATTACAGAAATATAATACTCAGCACAACCCAACCCGGCCTGCTCAATAATCTCGGAAGCCTGGCCCATATACGGCCAGTCCATTCCACAAGCTGAAGGAAGCATTGGTACAATAAATTGCTTGGACAGCCACGCAAGAGTAACATGGGTCAAACTACTGAACAACTAACGAACAACTAAGGTATAACTTTCAGTATGCGGGGACTTACATCTGTCTGACACTAGAGTTTTTTTCCCGGAAAGGAGGTTAAACTGCCGGCCTCTGCATAAATGTGATGCACACATCCATTCTTATTAATTATTAAGCAGAGTACATAACAAATGCAACCATGGCAAAACTATTACAAGGTGCATATATCATGAACCGACCACAACACTTATGCAAAAGATGTTCTTGTAGACGAATGGATCGCGGTGCCAGCTGAATCACTGTTTGTGAATATACAAGGATTTCAATAGACTGAAGCGTGACATTGTGCTAAGAAATACACAGTTTGAAAAGTAGAATTGATATTGCAAAGTTAGTGTCATGCATACATTTGAAGTTACATTGATGATAGAGCAGTCACAACAGGCGTAGTTCATGAAATTCAGTTTGCCAAACTCTTTGCAGGCCCATAAAAGCTTGAAGCTTCCCTTACAAAGTGGAGAAAATACAGAGAATATACACAGTAGCTAGAAAAATGATCATGCCACCGTGATTCTAGGAACCACAGTAGACGATTCATGGGATTGGTAGCTGTTGGAGTTGAAGGAAATACAATTTGATCAACTCCATGGAGAAAAACTGATAGGATTGTGTCTTGGCGAGCGAATCCGGGCCAGCAGCTCGCATGGTTGCACCTGCAAAGTCATTCTGAGCTTGCTCCATCGCCTGGGTGAATCAGTATAAACTGACGAGGATATGTGTGATCCATGTAGCATGTCAAAGCAGTAGAACTTCCAAAGGTTGCAGTGCCACTGTGCCAGTGACGAGCGCCGATCGCGTCATCTGTGCCTGAAAGATTGCACATGTCGCATTGTCAATTTGTAATTACTGCACTTCACAGAGTCTGCAACTTCCTGACATTGTGATGCTTACAGAAAGAGAACCAACTTACCAGCGAGAATGTTCATCTGCAGAAAAGAGCCAGTAGGCACTAAGCTCGGAGGGTGCAGGTTGTGCGGCACAAGTCGTGTGGCAATCTTCCAGCTTGACCCAGGTTGAGAAACAGGGGCATGTAAGAGTATGACAGAGCCTAAGAAGTAATGGAGTGATTCCAGGAGAGCAGAGAGAAGCGGGACACAACAAGTTTCTGTTTTGGAGACTCCACCCTACAGGTAACAAATTTTAGAGTGCATTTAGCAAGACTTTGTAAGAAAAAACAGATCAGCCAATGGACTAGTGCTGCGAGAAATCAGATGGAAAGAAACAAACAGAGGGAGGTTCCATCTGTACGTACCAGCGAAGGTGTCAACCTGTGCGGTGCGGCGGGAGACTTCGCGATCAGCAGTATGAATAGCGCCATTATATTGGTTGTTTTTTTTGTAAACGAAGAACTATCCTGTGTGTAAATGTTGGGATCAGAACGAAGGATATAAGCGGGCGGAAATTCTACCTGTATGTACCAGCCAAGGAGTCGACCTGTGTGGAGATTCAGCAAAAAGGAAGGGAGCAGCATGGACCAATGATCAAGCATTGTCGTCGTCCTCGGAATCGCAGGACCAGAAATCGTCTTCCACCAAAGCAAGAGCCATGGACCTCCCTTATGTCAGGGGCTTGGCTGCTACACCAACAACATATTAAGGGACATCAACACTTCAGTTGATACTTATCCGATACTACTAGTGAACGAAAGAGAAAATGGGTACTGACCAGTGGCTCCCCGTCGTCACAACCACCACCTGCGAGGAGGAGCTCTCCCCCACTGCTGCTGGGTGAATAGCTCCCATGCGACGTAGTTGGTGTGAATTGTCTCTCATGCGACGTAGTTGGTTGTAATCGCTCTCATGCGACATCTTCGTTGGAAAAAATAGCTCCCATGCGACACTGCTGCCTAATCCAAAGACACATGTTTAAAACTCGAATCAGGTGAGCGGGACCCACAGCATGGGACCCACTAACTTATCCAACTCAGCATTGGTCAGGTGAGCGGGACCCACAGCGTGGGACCCACTAACTTATCCAGGTCAGCATTGGTACAAGAGGACACCGAGCCGTGCCCCGAGCCGTGCAGCACCCGAGCCCATCCTCCCCCCTCCCCCTCCCCGACCGTTGTTGTTCTTTTTCTCCGGCGACGACGCGCAGCAACGCCGTTCCGGGCCGCGACCTAGCAATGTCGAGCTCCGCTTCAGCCTCCCGCCGCTCATGGCCGCGCTATGGCGCAGTGCCCATGACAAGATGCCCTGCATGCCCACGTATCGCACCCCTGAAGCGGCTAGTCACAACGACCGACAAGAATGGCAACCTTGGGCGGGAATTCGTGAAATGCGAGAGCAAACCAGAGCAGGGAAAGGTGAGATTTTACTTCTCAATATGCCAATTTTGGTTTTTGTCTCCCAATTTCATATTTGCCCATTTTTCCCCATCGGATTTGGGATTTAGGGTTCATCTTTCCGATTTCAGAAAATGAAACAATGCACCCATTTTGAGTGGCTAGATGAGTACATAGAGCGGATTCAACTGGAGGGTGCATCAGGGGAGGAGAAGTTGGGCAAGTTTGGATCGGGCGCATCTGGATCCGGGGCCCCTGGATCTGGCAATTCCATCGGGGGCGCCCGCCCTTCCATTGGTGCTACTGTGGGGGATGCAGGAGTGACGGCAGAGCTGAAGAAGCTGAACAAGCAGATGAAGAAACTCATCAAATTGCAGAAGCAGGGCAATTTGATGGGGCTCATGGCCGCACTTTTTTATGTTTGTGTAATTGGTCTCGCATTTGTTTATGTGATGATAATTAGTCGTAAGTGAATAGATTGGGCATCATTTGTAATCGGGATGATATGTACATTTGAATAAAAGTGTTGCGCTGTATGAATTAAGCATGTCCTCTCCACTCTGTTTCGGCCCCTTTTTTATTTCTTCAGTTCGTCATCAGTTTCAGTTTCAGTGGTAGAGGGAGAAAAGAAAAAAAGGTTCGTCCACAGTTGCCCGAAAAGGCCAGGCCCATATAGAAGTTAGGCAGGGCCGAATAGAACATATCCAGGCCCATTGATAAAAGGAGTGCAAAAAAAGTGCACACGGTCATTGACATCGATATATCTTTTCGGCTTTAGATCATTTCACAAATTTTAAGTTTCCTGCAGTCACCTTTTTTGAGATAACTCATCTGATAATTATTTGAGATATTTTTATGCATAAGCTATTTGAGATAATTATTTGAGCAGTCTTTGTGAACCAAAAAAGTTGCAATTGTTTGGTTCTAGTTTATTTCAACCAAGCACCATTTCTTAATATATTTTTTTACTTGTGCTATGGTGTTTTCAAAGTTTTTACTCGTGTGTTTCAACCGAAAAAGGTTGTGCCCAAAAAAGAAGACATCTAGTGTGCCCCTAGTAGCATCTCCTTACAACATAGAGGGGCATCCCCTTACAACCAGGGGCGGATCCATACTTGGTCATGGGTGTACACCCAAATCTTTTGGCTAGACATTTTTATATATGGTGTATACTTTAATACATTCAGTGCCCAAATGACCTTTCTCGCTAATGCCATGTTTGGCAGCAAAAAATGACATAGCAAGCATGATTTAAACATCAAACAACACTTGCACATGTCATCAGCACCAGATAATTAGCATTTTTCTTGCCCATTGTCTTCAAATGCATTGTATACCAACTGTATGATTATGTAGTACAGTACATAATCTTTATTGTCAATTTCTTGGTAACGTACATTTTAGATACCAGATCAATTGTTTTTTAGTACACATGGCCACATAAATAAAATGCAATGGAGAAACTTTAGGACCGAAAAAACATATAGATAGATAGTGGGGCATCGGGTACCCTAGTAGCATAGATAGATAAAACATATAGAGGGGCATCCCCCCACTACATATAGTTCATAAAACATGAAAGTAAAATAATTAAAACTAGATATATAAAAGACACGGGCACACACGCCCGAACCAACACAAACACAAACTAGAGCCCCAAACTAGATAGATAGAAGACTCGCCCCTTGAACAACTCCTTGGCCCCTCCTCCTTGCCACTCCTTGGCCCCTCCTCCTTGGGCCCCTCACTCGTCATCCTCCGGCATCTGGTAGGGGAGGGTGTGCATGCCGTTGGGGTGAGGGAAGATGTGGTGGAAGTTGGTGAAGATGTTGTAGGTCGTGAACGCGATAAACTCGCATCCACACCAGAACACCTGGCCGAGGAGGTGGTGAGCGTCGTAGGGGTTGGTGAAGGTGACGTGGAGGCCGATGACGAGGCCGTTGGCATTGCCATCGTACTGCTCGTGGAGGTGGAACATGGGCGGAGTGCCCGGAGGGAGGTGGCGGTAGCCGGCTTGGAGGAAGAAGCGAGCGAACTCTCTAGGGCCCCTCCACCTAGAGATGGCCCACACCCTCAGGCTATTCTCGACGACGACTCCGGCCGGGTACTGCCTCTCCGGCACGGTGGGAGGGCGACGGTAGGTAGGGCCGTTGAACTGCATGGTGGCTCGAGTGGGATTTGGCTCGAAAAGAAGAAGGGGAGGAGGCTTGAGAGATGAGTGTGAGAGGATGAGGAAATGGTGCCCTTTTATAGCCGCGTTGCAGCTGTGGTCAATGTGTACACGGTGCCTTCTGGATCGTTTTCTCTTCTCCGTTCGCACTGGCATAAGTAATTGCGGGCATTAATTCAAAAAACGGCGGCCAGAGCATCCAAAGAGGCACGGGCAGCACAGGCGAGTTGCATCGTTTCGTGCACTTGCATCGGCGGTGACGCCGCGTGGGAAACAGGCTCGTTCATCCACGCGTGACACTGAAAAAGGAGCTGCACCACCGACGCGTCCGTCTCGTTCAAACATGCATTTGTTAAAATAGCTTAGATGCGACGTACCTATGCGCTGCGCCCCTGCCGTGCTTTACTGCGTCGATGCGTGCATGCAATGGCGGGCTAGGTGTTCACGAGCAAAGAATAGCTAGGCTGCGACGTTGCATGGCATGCATGGGACAGGGATGGCCCACATGTCATTGACCCTCTCGCATGCAGCCCATCCCCCTCTCGACGGCCGTGCGCACGCACGCCAGGCTCTGCCGGGCCCGATCCGCTCGGCCCAACGGTCACTTAGATGATCCCCCGCTCAACGTTATCTGTTCGTCAGAGAGAAAAAACGGTGGCCAATCAGATTGGAGCCCACGGATCGCCCCCACGGAATCCTTCTAGAAGGCCTATCCGACGGCCGCAGTTTGGCGTTAGGGTTAGATCGACGGTGGACGTTTGGCGCTAGGGTTACATGGGGTTTGGAGGCAATCAATGGGGTTTTGAAAGGTTTGACCGAACATTCAAATGTGTATAACTAATTCAAAAAAAATCTAAAAAATGAAAAACCTGCGCATATAGCCTTTTTATGTTACATAGTTATGATATAAAATGATAAACTTGATCTAATGATCTTTGCTTGAAAAAACCTTCACAAATTGGACTATCTCGACTGAGGTTGCATGGAGTTCACAGGAGTGAGAAGAGGGTTTGAGGTTTTGAAAATGCAAAAAAATCAAAAACATCACCTTAGCTTCATTTTAGAGTGACTAAGGAGGATCTGAAGTTATTTTTGCATTTAAAATTTTTAAACTTGTTTTATTGCTAACTTTGTATTAAAGGGTGTTTTTTCAAAAATAAATTAAATAATATGAATACTTATTCAAAAAAAGGTGAGACTTCGTATTGATCCTATATAGGTATAATATAAGCTAAGAAAATCTTTTTTGGGTGATTTTGAGAAGGTCGAAAAAAACTTGCTTAGAAATGGGGCCGTTTTCCCTTACTTTGGAGCCTGTTTGGTCAACATTGTCCGTGACTATGAGTTGGAATTCACAAAAAGGGTTGAATTTATGAACTAAAGTGCATAGTAGTACATAAAACGATGCAACATCACAGAACAAACAAATGAACTCAAAAAATATTGAAGATAGGTTCAAATTTGAATATCGGTTCAAATTTGAATTTTATTTCAAGTCAAATCAACATCATAGCACATAAGTTATCACATGAAAGAACATAAGTTTTCACATCAAATGACAACAAACTTAAGTTTTCACATCAAATTTGAATGTTTTCGACTCTATTTCTTCTGCTTCTTTCTACCACTCGATTTCTTCTGCTTTTTTCCACCGTTTGGTTCCACGGCGCATAGTTTGTTGATGCTGATGCTCTTGCTTTTTGGCCCCCTCAACTTTTGCACCTGACCATGTCTCACTTCTTCAGTTTGCACTTCTGCAGATTGAGTAGATGGCACACATTGTTCAACTACTTCGGTTTGCAACTCAACACTTGGCAGCACAACCTCCAAACATGGCAACACAGTTGTCAAAGCAGATTCGAATGGTAGCACAACAGTTGCTTCATCTGCAACAGTTTCAGATTGCCCTAGCATCTGCAAAACAGATTCAGTATGCATCACATCATCCAAAACACAAACACTTAGCTCATGTTCAGCAGTAACAGTTTCACTTAGCTCCATATCTTTGTCACCAAACATTATCTGCTTAGTGCTCTTCCTTCTATAGCCACTGAGTCTTGCTTTTTTCACTGGCCAGCATTGTTCAACAACAAGCGGTGGGGCTTTTTCTGCACGCTTCCTCCTAAAAAATAAAGCATTTGACTTGGTTAGATACTAGAACAAGTAGCAAAATCAAAAACTTGCAAAAACAGTAACATAAACATACTTTGGCCTCTGAGGAGTGTAGATGCACTTGGATGAACCAATTCTGTGCCCAAGTACCTCACACAACTTGCACCTATTTTTGTTACCTTTTTGAGCCCTTTTGGGCTTATCATTCTTTTCCTTTTCCTTTTCCCCCTTCTTACTACAACCACCTTTCTCAAACCAAGCTTTGAATCTGCTCTGTTTAGGCCTCCCAGCCTTTCTTCTAGTGACAGGGGGACACAAGGTAAATTCTATTTCCACCTCAGGCCACTGAGATTGGTCAGTCAGTGCAGGAATTGGACTTGCATATGCAGCTTTGAATTTTTGTACTGAATAATACTCATGCAAATATGGGTGCATATTTAACCTGGGTTTAGATGCCAAAAAAAGTATGGAATGCTCACATGGTTTTCCAGTGTGTTGCCACTCTTGGCAAGTGCACTCATGCAACTCAGTATTTACCACATGCCTCTTGCCACTCTTTGTATCTCTAACTTCAGCACCCCACAAGGAAGATTCCTCAACAGATAGATGTGAAAGATTTCTACTCCTGTTGACCACCTGTTGTACCACTGCTGGAAGCTTGTCCCCTTCCAAAATATTTGCAATTTTTCCTCTCAACTCCCACAAACGCATGATCATGATTCTTATTTGGTCCACCATGTCATGCACAGGCAAGTCTTTCAAATGCTTCACTTTGTTGTTAAAACTTTCTGCCAAGTTGTTATTGATATGATCACATTTTATGGCAGTATTAAAACCTGATCTATACCACAACAGAGAATGGTGGGTGTTCAACCATGAAGCAAATTCATTATCACTACATGATGCCAATATCTTACCAAGGTGATAGGAATGTGTCTGTCTGGTGTAGGATCTTGCTGCTGGCCACATGCGCCCAAATTCATCTCCTCTGAATTTTTTTATCAGATTCATCCACATATGTCCAAAGCACTCCCTCTGCTCAGCATGGGGGAAAACACTTTTTACTGCATTTTCCAACCCTTTACATGCATCTGTGTGGATGGCCAATGGAGAAACTGGCCCTATGCATCTTTTCAGTTGCATCATGAACCATATCCATGATGCCTCTGTCTCTGATTGAAACATTCCTATTGCAATTGGGAACATCCAGTTGTGTCCATCTAGAGCATTGCATGCAGCCAACTGACCATTCCACTTTCCAGTCAAAAAAGATGAGTCTATGCTCAAATATGGACGACAACCTGCTTTGAATCCATCTATGCAAGGCTTCAAACACATAAAAAACTTGCTGAATAAAACCTTGCCATCCTCTGTTACCTCTGTATCTATCTCCACTACACTCCCAGGTGACCTCTTCTCCACCTCTGCTTTAAAACTATACAACATCCTAAATGTATTTGCCCAGTCACCATACAATGATTTCATGGCCCTTTGTTTTGCTTTCCACACTGTGGTATATTGCAGCTGGATGGGGTACAACTTCTCCAAGTCAACTTTAAGCCTCTTTGCAGTAGTGTTTGGAGTCTTGGCTAAAATAGGAGTAATCTTCTCTGTAACCCAAAGCTGTGATGTCATCTTTGAAACTCTCTGTGAAGTGGTCATACATGTATGCTGGTGTGGTATTTGATTTACCCTTACTGTACTTCCATCAGGTTGTAGTCTGGCAGACAAGTACCATTTGCAAGGATTGCCACCACCATCATAACCTTTGCACCGAGCATAAAATTTCTTTCGATCAGTCCACATAGTCTTGGCATCAAACTCTTTTTTTACTGCATAGGTCCTGAAATACATCCTAAACTCCTTCATGCTTGGCCACAACTTTCCCACCTCAATAACTGGGTTCTCTTTGTCATACAAACAAACCAGCTCATTATCATCTGCATCATCCACATCATCTGCAGCCTCTCTCATCAGGTGTTCTTCATCCTCATTTGCATTTCTAGGGCCTGTGTTACCTTCAGCTGGCAAAGAACTGTCATCCTTCTCCTTATCTTTGTCATCAACTTGAATGCCAAACATTTCGGCCATATCAATGTCAGATATTGGTGTAATGACCAAATCTGTTTTTTCATTCAACTCTACTACATTCCAGTCAACAACAATCTTCCTAGCACCATGGGTTCCCTCCTCTCCATCTGCATCAATCCCAGTATCTTCAGCTACTATAGTCGGTTCAGTCAACAATGCCAACATCTTCTTTTGTGAAACCCACTCATCATCTTCCATCTGTGCAGCCATCTTTGATGGCACATAACCAACTCTGGAATGAGTTTGCAGATCAATTAGCTCTGCATAAAATGTTACTTGTTTGCTTGCCCATCCTCCTTGCTGATCAATTTCAGCAACCATGGATTCTCCATCTTCAATTCTCACATATTCACCATTATAGTTATCGAAACGTTGCAGAGATACCTCTTGTTCTGGACCCCAAACAATACTCTCCCCAATTCTCTCCACCAAATTGCCCACGGCCTTCTCCTTCATGATCTCCAATTCCTGGGGATCAACATCTGCAAAATCGACATCCAACCTCACGGTGGTATCTCTATCAATGTCTTGGACACTGCCATCACTGAGCTTGGCTTTACAGGGAAAAAATTCCACTCTAATTGCGAATGTGGTGGCAGAACCTGAACCTCCCCTGTTTTGTCAATGGCAGGCAGCGGCGGCAGTCACTACCAAATCGAGTTCGATTCTAAATCGCCAAGAAAAGAGGGTGCCATTACCGATTTGAAGCACTGTCTCCTCGGGGCAGCCCGTCTCCTCGCTCCATCTCATCTAGCCCTCGCTCCATCTCCTATCCAATCAAGCAACAGGGGCAGCATGAGGCCACAGATTTATGGGTACCCCAGATTTATGGGTACCCCAGATTTATTCAAAATTCAGTGGAATGGGAGTAGTGTTTGGAAAATACTCACTCGCAATAGCCGCTGCAGGGATAGGCGCTCCACCACCGGGCCGCGGAGAAGAAACAACCCCCGGATCCAATGGAGCCCGATTCTAAATCGCCAAGAAACAGAGGGCAGCATGAGGCCACAGATCGGGGAGTGGGACTAGGGTTTCGGGCTCACCTCGCAATAGCTCTGCCGCTGCCGAGAAATGCACTCCACCACCGCGGAGAAGAAACCACTGCCGGAGAAGATGCTTACGGCGGCGCCGCTCGCCCAGTCGCCGGTCGAGTCGTGGACGGTTGACTCTTGACTACGTGGCCATAGGTGGACCCCACCAGTCAGAGCACATAACCCCCAGTGTCCTAACCAAATCTCAGCCTAACGGACAGCCAACTAGCCGCGTAAATGGTGTGTCGCATGGGAGCTATTTTTTCCAACGAAGATGTCGCATGCAAGCTATTACAGCCAACGACGTCGCATGAGAGACAGTTCACACCAACGACGTCGCATGGGAGCTATTTACCCACTGCTGCTTGCTCGGGATGGAGAGATGATGATTCCTCCCCCTCCGTTGCTTCATTCACATATACTTCAATAGTGGTTCCTTGGACAATGTCACCCAGGTCGTGTTGGCTCCGTTCCTCCAGCACTCGCAACACGGGGTAGTTGGGGTGTGCGTCCACTTCACCTTGCAACATACCAAGCCTGGCCACTTTACCATAACGATTAAGCGAAATCTCCTTGAGACTTGCAAGGTGCTCGATACCATTAATCCCTGATTTCAACCTGCACCCTTTGATTTCTATCTTTTCCAGCTGGGGCGAGGTGCCCTCCTCGAATATCAACTCTGTCACTTGCTCGAGACCCCAAATATCCAGGTTTTTCAGATTTGGGAATGCTCCGGTTTTGAACGCTAACTTCTTCCCAATATAAGAGCCGAGATGAAGACGAAGGTGCATGAGGTTGGGAAGTGGCCCAAGTATTTCCATGATTTTACCTTCTTCCTTTATTACGCTGCGCCTTAAGGAAAGCTTCACCAAATGCATCAGATTGCCAACCCAGCCAGGAATCTCTCCAAGGCATCCATTCAAGTTCAGACTCCTCAACAGGGGAGGAGGAGAGGAGACATCATGCAGCCACTCGAGTGAACCATCCACTGAAAGGGAGCGGAGGCAAGTGAGCTTCTGAATGGCGTCACAGAGTACCTTGCATTTTTGCTTGCTGGCCCCTTGTGTTAACACGCTCAGTTTTCTCAGCTGCACAAGCTCGCCTAGCTCTTTAATTGCACTGCAACTAGTTCGGCTGATGTCCACAACCTCTAGTATTTGCAGCTCTTTCAGTTTTCCCATTCCTTTTGGCACCCTCACACCATCTGACTTTGACCCACAGCTAGACCAGGCCATGTGTAGCTCAGCAACTACCTCGGCTCGCTCACTAGGATCGACCAAAGGTGTGAACAGAATGGGCACAATAATTGTGGCCAGCAAGCAATTCTTGGGGCCATCCATGTCAAAGATATCATAGGAATTCCTTCTAGTACAACGGAGACTGTGTAGACTCTTGAGTTTACAAATCTCAATTGGCAGTTCTGTAATATAACTGTCTCTAATGTTCAAAGTGCGCAAGCCTTGTAATCTCCCTATGGATCTAGGAAGTTTATAAATATGTGAATATCCTCGAGGACGAGGAAAATTCAGATACTTCAAGTGGCGAAACAATCCTATGTTGCTGATATCCTTTTGTGCGACTTGAAACTGTGCATTCTCTAGATCCAAGACCCGGAGCATTCTCATGTCAGGTGAACAAACTGAAGGTGATGGCTGCAATGATTTCTCACCAAACATAGTTATTGACCGGACGTGGCTCCAATCCATATCTATCTTTTGGCACATGCTACCATGGTATGCTACATGTCGGAAGGTCTCCTCCATAGCACCACTTACATTATTTCCTGCCACATGCACAAAATTTTCATCTCTAGAAACTGAGATCATGACATCACGCACAATATCATGGACTCGACAGCTCTTCACAACTCCTTCTATGTTCACCCTTGATGCTTGAAGCATGCTTCGGTTGATTAACTCATTGAAATAACCTTTTGCCACATCCTCAATGTTCACCCCAGTCCCACCCCTAATCAACCCCTCGGCAATCCATCTTTCTACTAGACGCCTCATCTCGATTTCAAAATCCTCAGGAAAGATGCTTAGGTATAAGAAACATGGCTTAAGATGAGATGGCAAGTGGTTGTAACTCAAAGTAACCATCATCTTCATTGCTTCAAGGCTGGGGTTACTCTCAAGCTCAGACGGGAGTTGGTTATAGACGTGCTCCCACTCTACTATTTTTTTAGTGGCAAGGATCCCTCCAATAGTGAGTATGGCCAGTGGTAAACAACCACACTTTTTAACTAGTTTTTCCACTATGCTCTTGAAGTTTTCATCCATGGTCATGTCTTCATTTGTTTTCCTACTCTTTTTTAGGAGCAAATTTGTGGCTTCGACTACCTCTAAAGTTTTAAGGTGGTATATAAGGGATTCAAAAGTACATTCCTTTGCTAAGCCCACATCACGTGTTGTTACTATTATCCGACTACCTTTCTTGTTACTATTAGGAAAAACAATATCTTTAATCCACCTCCATGCATCTATGGTCCACAAGTCATCAAGAATAATAAGGTACCTCTTATCCTTAATCTCTTTATTAAGGTACTCGGCGAGGTCCTTTACTTGCACCACCTTCCCTTCAAGTTCTTTCAACAAGTTCTTCAGTGAATCTCCACCCAGAAGTTGCCTGATCATATCCTTGAGCATTTCTATCTTGAAAAATGACTGTGAAACTGTGATCCAAGCAGAGCAAGAGAAATTCTTCAGAATATCTTCCTTACTTTCATAAGTTTTTCTTGCAAGAGTAGTCTTGCCTAAACCACCCATGCCAACAACACATATAACTTTGGCATCACCATTTCTAGTGTTGACATCCATCAGCTTTATCAACTCCTCCCTAGGCTTTGCAAAGCCCACAAGTTCTGCTTCATCAGTGTTGCTTGCTGAGTGGTTACGTACATCTTCTATGTAAGAAACCTCCTTGTCACTGGTCGTTGAGGCCTCTGTCTTGATCAAGTTGTAGCGTGCATTCCTGCTGCTCACTTCTTCAACTCTTGCTTTCAGGTTGCGAATTTGGATAGCAATCCGACGACGATCTTTGAGCTTCATCAGCCGTTTTGTTAGGCTTTGGCTCCTCACATGAACCATAAATTCATCAAGGCAATCTTCTATATTGTAGGACAGGTCTCTTACTTGCTCTGCCCACACCTTCAGTAGCATGTCTCTGTTCTTCGTTGCTTCAGCTGCTGCCAAGAATGCCTGCATCGTCTTTAGCTCGTCTTTGATGAACCTGTCAAGCAAATTAAATTGAGATTCAGAACAACCACTATTGTCATTCTGTAGCTGGTGGCATGCGCGCGACAATGCATGAGAAAATTTGCCGCATCCATCAATAGCGGAAAAAAATATATCAAACAATGGGAATGAGATCTGAAACATGCATGACAAGACTTATATATTTCCTAGATTTGGTATCGGTAAGTTGATCTGTGTAACAACTTGAAAGAGTTAACATGTAAATGGATGCATCCGTACATACCAGATATCCTTCTGCACACCCATCACCAAGCTCAGCTCGGCGGCCGCGGCAGAGGCGGCCTTGCTGATGGCGCCCCCCAGCATGGACCTCGCCATGCTTAGCACCGTCTCCGCCGTCTCCGGCTCTTGCTGGTTCGTCACAGAACACCTTTTCCTTTCCTTTTTGGAAGACCCTCACAAAGTAGATCTCACACTAGGTGGATGTTGAGGACGAAGGACAGGGAGCGGCAAATGGCAGTGCTGCTATAGTGAAAGGGGATCGGTGTGTTTGGTCCTAATAGTAGAGTAGACCAAACGATAGCGTGCATGTGTCTTAGCTAGCGCCTCAAGAGTAGGCAACTAAAGCCGATCTGCGCCAGTTCCCCCCTAATAATCTACACTTGATTAAACTTCTGACAGCTAACGGCATCTCCAATGCTGACCCTCAAACGACCCGCATATGTTTGGACTCCGTGGATCGGATGTGTTGTGCCAACTAACACGGTCATGTATTAGTTCGCCAGGCGGTTCAAACACACTTTCTCCCACAACCCGGAGAAAACGGGGGGACGGGGGAGGGGCTTTGCGGACATTCGGATAGCTGCCACGCTCGCATTTGACCACAATGGCCCACCCAAAACCCTTTTACTCGCCCGCGCGCGTTCCCGCCCAGGGCCAATAATGGCCCGCATTCATGCCACTGTAGAGCGGCTGCTCCCGCATTGAAGCCGGCTCAGAGCGCATGCCACCACCAGCGCGTCGCAGGCGTGCACAATCGGTGACTTGCCCGGTCAGTGCAGACCATCGTCGACCCCTGCCCGGGAGCTCCCCTTACCCTCTGGCTGAAGCACACCCGGACATGGGGAAGCGGAGCCGTACTTTCCCCTAAGCATATACCTCCAGGGTTGACGGACATGGGAAAGACAAAGGGATCCGCCATAGCTGTTCATAGACTACCGTAGGGTATCTGTGTCGTGCGAGTGGAGCTTCGCGTGGCCGGGCATGTAGGTAGTTTTACCTTTTTTAGTTAAAATATGTTCATATCTAAATGTTTTTGTCCGGTTTGTATGAAATACGCTGTGTTTGCATGAATTTCATCCGGTTTTTTGAAAAAGTGTTTGGAATATATGTGAGCGGCATTGGATGACTGCCTCCAACATCAATATCCGCAGACTAGTCCCGCTGTTCACGGAAGGATGCTGGAGCAAATTTACGGGTCAACATTGGAGATGACATAAACATCTTGATATAAAAATATCGAAGTGCCCGTAGCTAGGTCGCGTCTCGTGGACATACAATTAGTACACATATACTTTGTGATTTTCTGGCTCACTTATGGGTGACCATTACCAGCAAGAAATAGCTAGCGATCAGTAGCATCTTGATTATCACAAGTAACTTGAATATCTATGGAGAAACTAGCTCCACCAGCTGGCCGGCCAGGTCATGTTTAACATATCTATCCGCCACATCTTATTTTGCAATAACTCTAATCCTTGAAAGCTAACAGATTTATAAGATTTTTAGGTCCCACTTAAAAATCATATAACCATCATCTTAACATATCCAGAAGAAGCATAAAATTCATAATCAAGTAAAACATGTCTCCTAAAGCTCTTCTTTCAAAAAAAATTGTCAAAGCATGTGGATCATTATTCGTGTCACATTCCCTAATAGCTCTAGCAAAGTTTAATTCAACTTTAGTGAGTGTGACAGGAATAGGTGATGTTCTCATAGGTGGTAGGCGGTTCATTTTCAACTGTTTCTTTCTATTTTAATATAGAAAAATGACCATCAAGTAATTCTCCCAAAGGAGGAGATTCAGCAGTAATAACAGACGCAGCAGCAGCGATATCAACAGTTTCATCGTGAGAATCGCGAATGACATGTTGGTTTCAAAGTGTGGTTCATTGGTGTCTCCCACTCGATCTTGTGCATGATGAAAAGAAGGCAA